CCCTTTGGGGCAGGGCTACAGTTTATATCAACTCTTCTGAGAGAGACCCTAGTACAAATTAATGGAAAATCACAATTGGTGCAGCAGTCATGCTCTGTGGTCACAATTCTAAGGAGTATAACATAATGACGTTACATTCTCCCTGGCTTACCAACAGAACTTATCATGTGGCTAGCACCATTTAGGAAGGTCCCATTGTTTGATGTTGGGTGCTGCTGCCCCTTGTCTTTGTTGAGTGTTGCCAAAACCTTCCTGGTTAAATCAGGAGGGTCCTAGGAAGTCCCTACTAATGCACATGGGTCAGCAGTGGATGATGTCCCAAGAGCTTGGGTACCTGCAATCCATGTAACAGACCCGGATGGAGTTCCTGGCTCCTTGTTTCAGTATGGCCCACTCTGTCATTGTGGCCACTTGAGGAGTGAATACATGGACAAAAGCACTCTCTCTCTCTTTCCCTCTCCTTCTCCCTCCATCATTCTGCCTTTCAATTAAGTACATACTATATAGATAAATCTTTTCAAAGTTTATTGGCTTATTTTCATTTTATTTGAAATGCAGAAACAGATGAAGAGAGAGCAAGAGAGAGATCTTAGGATCTTAGGATCCACTTCCTAAATGCTTGCAATGGCCAGGACTGGATCAGGTCAAAGGCAGGACTCTAGATCTCCATCTGGGCCTCCCATATGGGTGACAAGGATCCAAGCACCTAAGTCATAATCTGCTGGTTCCCAGGATGCACACTGCTAGTAAATTGGATCAGAAATGGGGTATCTGGAACTCAAATCAGGTACTATAACACAGATGCAGGAGTCCTAGAAAGTGACTTAAGTAACTGCACCAAACACCTGTCTCCCACATAATACATTTTCACTTGAAGTATAAAGAACAAAAGAGTGTCATTATGATAAATAAGTATCTATAGTATTTTTTAAAACTTCCTACAAAATGTAATCTAGAAGTTGGCGTCGTGGCACAATGGCTTGAACTGCCACATTGGATGCTTGCATCCCATATAGGAGAGCCTGGTTCTAGTCCTGGCTTTTCTGTGCTTGCGACCAGCTTCCTAATGTGTGACTGGGAGGACTCAAAAAATGATGGCACAAATACTGGGGTCCCTACCACCCACATGAAAGACCTGGATTGAGTTCCTGATTTTAGCCCCAGCAGTTGTAAGCATATAGGATGTGGACCAGCAGATGGAGGATATCTCTGTATGTGTGTGCATGTGTGCATGTATGTGTGTCCCTATCTGTGTCACTCTGTCTTTCAAAAAATAAATCTTTTTTTTAAATGATGCAATGTAGTTCTTAGGCCAATAACAGCAAAACCAATAAGGATGATATATGTAATGCCAGGCGTTGGCATATTTGTTTCTAGAAAATCTAGAGCCCATTCTGCATAAACTTTTGCAGGTGATTACAGTAATATGATATGATATGATTCTCAAATCAGTGTCAAAATCAGAGATAAATTCACATTAGCTTGAATAGTATCCAAAGCCTTACCTATTTCCAGAGAGAAGCATGGAAAGTCCCTGGTAATAGTTCTGGTAAAGCAGAGGATAGGTTGTACAAGGAGATTGCTGAAGTGCTCACTGTAGGCCAGATCTTATCATCATCCTCTGCTAGATGGTCATGTTCAATTCTTTGTGAGATAGAACTGCCATCAGGGCTGGCGCCAGGGCTCACTTGGTTAATCTTCCACCTGGGGTGCCGGCATCCCATATGGGCACCGGCTTCTAGTCCCAGCTGCTCCTCTTCCAGTCCAGCTCTCTGCTGTGTCCAGGCAAGGCAGTGCAGGATGACCCAAGTGTTTGGGGCCCTGCACCAGCATGGGAGACCAGGAGGAAGCACCTAGCTCCTGGCTTCGGATCGGCGTAGCATCAGCCGTTGCGGCCATTTGGGGAGTGAACCAACGGAAGGAAGACCTTTTTCTCTGTCTCTCTCTCTCTCACTGTCTATAACTCTATCTGTCAAATAAATAAAAATATTTTAAAAAAAAGAGAGATAGAACTTCCAATTTAAGTTTCAACTGGTAGAAGACTTTCCTTCCCCCCTCCCCCCCATAGGAAATCTTTCCCCATTTTGGTAGTGGAAAGGTAGAAGGGTTGAACACTGCGTACCACCAGCTCCTTTGGCCTTTACCTTTCTTGGAGCCCCTCTCCATGCCACTCTGGATGTCTTTTCTGTAATAAATCTTGCTTCTAAATACTTTTAAATACTTTCTCTCTCTGCCTTGCCTACTTGGAAATTCTTCTTCCATTTGTGACAGAGAACTAGGGTAATATAGCCACCGTTTCACCCATAACATATCCAAATGCATTAAACATTTGGAAAGATACATCCCTGCCCCCAACTGACACCAATTCTGATCCCTGAGTAGGGAAGAGAGGCTGAGGAAGAGTCAAAGGAACTTTTTTGCCTTTTTTTCCATTGATTCACTGAACTTATCACAAAGAGGGTATATTCATGTTTTATTAGTGTAATTTAAAGCAAATTTTTAAATAAACAAATCAACACCCATAGAGGTCAGCTATCAAAAAAAAAAGAGAGAGAGAGAGAGAGAGAAATGATAGTCAAGTGATGAGAAGTTGGAAGAGTTGAAGGCAGGGGAAGCTGGTGACTAGAACTTCAACAGCAAAGCAGTGCAGAAGGGGTTGGAGTTCTTTGACAGAAATGGGAACTTCCTGTACAGAATTTGAGCAGGGTCTACCTTGTAGAGACATCTTGTGAAACACAGCTGGGCAATCCTACTTGGAGCTGCCTGGGTTTCTGTGTATGGATTAGCAAACTTAGAATAGAAGTAATAGGATGTGGAGGAAAAGGGCTGCTTGAGTAGATTCAAGCTTCCTGGAGCACTGCTCCCAATCTGACCCCTGTGCATCTTCCATATTCACCCTTCTTGCTTAGCCTCTGTGTTGCAAACCAGTGTTGCATGTGTTAAGAATGTCTGTGATGCTTGTGTAATGTATGTTTGGGAGGAAATGAAAAGTTTGCCTTCTGACCTTATTTCATTCTTGATCAGTGAATACTAACAGCTCTGGAACTGCCTAATCAATTGATTATTTCCTTATATGTAGAAAAAAAATGTAAAACATAGCAAAAAAGAAGAGAAAGAATGAGATGTTCTCAGAAGTGTCATTGAATTCTACTTCATGTGTTATCTTCAACAAGGAATAGCAGACAAGAGACAAAACAAAGAATTTTGAGGCTCTAAAAGCAGCAACTTGTGGAAATGTAAACGCATGTCAGATATAGGATAGTTAATAAGGTAGATTACTCTGGTAAGGGTCTAATATTATTTTTAGTGGTTTATTTTTGTGCTTCCTGATAGAAGGGTGGGGGAGTAATAGGATACCTTTTGTGTTTGCAAATTGTGTTCTACCTGCAGGCAAGTAAAATGAAGACAGAGAATTTTCTGTATCTCATTAATTGTCTTCAGCTCAACAGTTCCTTATTTTAGGGTAGTATAGTCTGTCCTCTCACTAGAGGGAGGAAAAAGACTTGCAGACCATGGTTTCAGGGATTAATCTCAACTCAGTCCAAAGATCTTAGAACACCTTCCATCCCAGAGATCTATTTCTTTTTTTTTTAACTTTTATTTAATGAATATAAATTTCCAAAGTACAGAATATGGATTACAATGGCTTCCCCCCATAACGTCCCTCCCACCCGCAACCCTCCCCTTTCCCACTCCCTCTCCCCTTCCATTCACATCAAGATTCATTTTCGATTCTCTTTATATACAGAAGATCAGTTTAGCATACAGCAGGTAAAGATTTCAACAGTTTGCTCCCACACAGAAACATAAAGTGTAAAATACTGTTTGAGTACTAGTTATAGCATTAAATCTCAATGTACAGCACACTAAGGACAAAGATCCTACATGAGGAGTAAGTGCACAGTGACTCCTGTTGTTGACTTAACAAATTGACACTCTTGTTTATGGCCTCAGTAATCACCCTAGGCTCTTGTCATGAGCTGCCAAGGCTATGGAAGCCCCCTGAGTTCACTGACTCTGATCATATTTAGACAAGGCCATGGTCAAAGTGGAAGTTCTCTCCTCCCTTCAGAGAAAGGTACCCCCTTCTTTGATGACCCGTTCTTTCCACTGGGATCTCACTCGCGGAGATCTTTCATTTAGTTATTTTTTTTTTTTCCCCCAGAGTGTCTTGGCCTTCCATGCCTGAAATACTTTCATGGGCTTTTCAGCCGGATCTGCATGCCTTAAGGGCTGATTATGAGGCCAGAGTGCTGTTAGGACATCTGCCATTCTATGGGTCTGCTGTGTATCTCACTTCCCATGTTGGATCATTCTCTCCCTTTTTTACTCTATCAGCTAGTATTTGCAGACACTATTCTTGTTTATGTGATCCCTTTGGTTCTCAGTCCTATCATTATGATCAATTGTGAACAGAAATTGATCACTGGGATTAGTGAGATGGCATTGGTACATGCCACCTCGATGGGATTGAATTCGAATCCCCTGGTATGTTTCTAACTCTACCGTTTGAGGTAAGTCAGCTTGAGCATGTCCCGAATTGCACATCTCTTCCCTCTCTTATTCCGACTCTTATATTTAACAGCGATCACTTTTCAGTTAAGTTTCAGCACTTAAGAAGAATTGTGTATTGATTACAGTATTCAACCAAAAGTATTAAGTAGAACAAACAAAAAAATACTAAGAGGGATAACATATTAAGCTGCTAATCAACAGTCAGGGTGAGGGCTGATCAAGTCACCGTTTCTCATAGTGTTCATTTCACTTTAACAGGTTTCATAAGAAACCTGGGATTCTAACCTAACTTTAGGGTATTACTCAATCCTAAGAATCAAAATCTGTCCTTACCAGCTTAACTAACCTCTGCCAACAATAATGGTTCATGTGTCTGTCTGATCATTGGATTTCTGATCAACTAATCATGGGTGAAGACCTGAATCACCCTGAATGATGACTTCAAATATACAAACTTCATAAGTACACAGGTTTCTGAATTACAGGTCTGCAAGTCCAGTGATGAATCTGATCCTATTGAAATTGAAGCATCAAAACAAAAAAGGCATCAATGATATTTGTTAAAGCATGGTAAGGAAAACTTTCTTCAGGGTGCTCTAATAGCATTCTGCAATGGGGAAGAGATATTGGGCTCAACACCAAAAACAGGATGAGCAAGTGGGAGTTTACATCCCAGGAGCAGTAGGGTGAGGGCCAGTAGATAGTAAATTAGTAAGATTTAATGTTAAGGTAAGAAGGATTCTGGCTAAAGCAACCTAATAAAATTATTGTTCAAGACAGACCACACTGATCAGACATAGTGGGGCATAGTGGAAGATACCCAGGGTTGGGGATTCTGACTCAATTAGCTCTTTGTTAAAACTGGAATTTATAAAGTACACAGATGGCCACAACATCCAGGGATGAGCCAGCCAGGATCCAAGAGCTTCTTCTGGGTCTCCCATGTGGGTGCCAGAGGCCCAAGCACTTGAGCCATCTTCAGCTGCTTTTTTCAGGCCATTAGCCTGGAGCTGTATTGGAAACTGGAGAGCTGGTACATGACCTGCAGCCATATGGAATGCCAATGTCACAGCTTAACCTTCTACACCAAAAACCCTACCCCCTTTATCTTATAAATTATATATATAAAGATATATTTTATAAAATAGATATAAAAGATATATATGATTGTAGCTTATTAAAGAAACTTTTACTTTTTCCATTATACAGTGTAAATTAGTACTCCAAATTGCTCCCCGATTTATGAACTCTTTATTTTCTTTGTTAATTATTTCAAGTTAGACTTTTTAAAAATTATATCATTAAATAAAATTATAAAAATTTTCAGGAGAATGCAGGGAATAATTCCAAAACCATAAAACTCCTTGCAACAAATTCAACTTCCATAGCTCTAACACATACACACGTATATACAAACAAAAATACAATTTGGCAAAGGGCACTGTTGACTTTTTTTTCCAAGAGAAATATATGCTAGTGTCACAGATTGAAAGAGTTTAAAAAATTAGGGAAGTTTACCTGTCATCTGATTTGTGCAGTTACGCCTTGAAACACCTGGATTCTGATTTTTTTTTCTATTCAATTCTACTCTTAGAAAATGTGTTCAACTCTGCCTGGTCATTTTATTTTAGGATATTCTCAGCTTGGTTGATGAGGCCTATTGACCATTCAACACACTGGTGGCAATTAGCAACCTTCTATGCCAGCTCTCTGTTTTACAAATATAAAGTAATTAGTACTAGAAATATATAAATAAAACATACAGTACTTAATTAAAACGATTAACAACATGAAGGAGATCTGCTGCAGTGATTCTAAAAATAAGGCTTATTAACATGTCCTGGTCCCTAACCATTCACCTTCTCCATCCTATGGGCTACGTTTGTCTTGCCAAAGCCTCCTTGCATCTAGTTTACTCCACTTACATTGAAATACACTCAGTCGTGCATTCTATTATCTAACCTCCTGGATCTTCCTGATTGTAAAAGCAATGCATGCTCATAAAATATTTAGAAAATAAAACATGTACAAAATCCTACTCCCCAAAAGAAATACCTTGATGTTTGCTTCTATGTGTGTTTGATTGTATATTCGTATAAGCAGACCATATAATTTTAATAGTATCAAAGTAGGCAGTGCAACCAGTATGTTAAGAATGCAGTATGTGCCAAATTTAAAATTTTAACTAAGAATCAGTTTTGAAGGTCATAAATTTCCAGAGAAGTAGAAATATAATTAAAGAAAGGAACATTTCCTTTAAAATCTATGCTATTTACTCCCCACCTCCCAATCAATGATTCGATTCTTGTTGGATCAACTACATTTCAAAGGCATATATGCTTTATGGTAGCGATGTCATATATTGTTTTAATTAAAATCCTTACTCCTGGATCACCGTGAAAGAATTAATTTAAGTAGAAGGTAATTCCCAAGTAATTGTTTTCCGGCCAGCGTAGCCTGTTTTGAACACCAACGTTACTGACATTTTCATCTGATATTCTGCATTCACCAAGCCCGGGCCATGTGTGTCATCAGCGTTTGGTTCATGGCGGAGCCACGCTCAGGAATTACATCATCATTTGGTGCCCACCGCTTGCCCGCTAAAAGCTCTGGGAAGGTAAAATGATTGGCAGGGCAGATGGTGGCCGAAAGCGATCTGATATATGTTCTGGTTTCCGCAATGGGCCCGGTGTAGTGTCAGTGATTTCTCATCGTGGTTTCCATTTCATGGCTGCGGGATAAATACATGCTTTATATTTGTTTGTTTTTTTTTTGTAAATTATATCTAGGGTTTAGTTTATTAAAAAATGAATTTGCATCCATATTCTTAACCATGAGCCCTATTTAATACACATTTTAATAGATCCAACTTTCCTATTAATCATTTTCCTTTTTTCCCTTTGGATTTGGCTTACAAATGTGACCTAAAGAGAGGTTTTGATTTTATATACTACCATATGAATATAGTTTAATTCTATGGTTACATAAATCGCCTTACAGAAAATTTGTGTACTTGCCTTCATTTTACAGTACACTAACATTGAAAAATGCTTGAAATATTTTTCAATGATTTTTTGATGGTAGAATCCAATTTTTAGTTTAGTGAGACTATTCATTAAATATGTGTGAATAAATATGTATGTATACACACAAACTTTGCTTTTGATTCTATCACTTTTCTACCAACATATCTCTAATGACAGAGGGTAAAGAAAGAGGCTTCTTAGAGCCTATATACCAAAATGCCATGCACTTAATCCTGGAAGATCATATGGAGTTTGCATAATACATCAGTGTATACCTTTTGGGTATTTTTGTGCATGTTTTGTTTAAAAAAAAAAAGAAACTCTGATACTTGTTAAAGCACAAGTAAGACTGACCATGGTTATATTAAAAGAACCTCTCCAAAAATGTCTTCTGGAGGGGAAAGAGGGCTCATATACAGTTATAGCATGGGCAAGTGGGAATTTATAGCCAGGGGGCAGAGTAGAGGTCAATGAATGGAACATTACTAAGAGGTAACATCAGGAGTAAGGAGGAACTGTTATTGAATCAGCCTATCAGGGTTCTTGCTGAAGACAGACCAGGGATCAGGTATTACCTGGAGGGTGGCAGGAAGATGTGGGACCTACTCTGATATCTAGAGTAGAGGATTCTGACTGAACTGATTTAAGGTTCTTTGTTAACTGAATTTTCAAGGCAGTATATAAATGAGCATTGGGGAAGGTCCAGGAGTCTGACTAAAATTTGATCAAGCAAAGAATCTCTTGTGAATGTGCAGGAACTCATTTTTTTATAAAATGCCACCTCTCCCTTACCACATCTCTCCACATTAACCACATCTGCACGGAACTCAGAGCACATTTACTATGACCTCTAGATCTATGTATGTGTATTTTGAATGACCTGATATATCTCTTCTCTTTGTAATTCTTACCCTCAGCCTATATGAGTGGAAGTTAGAAGTCAAAATTTCCTGAACATACTGCTCCACCAGAATTTCCTCCATAGGTTTTGCTGCCACTTTTACCAGTCACTGAAGGCACTTTTTTCTTATGTAAGTAGAAATGTTGCATTATCTGTAACCTCTACCTTTTTGCCCTATATTTGCATGTACATCCTGTGACATCTACCATTTCCTCTATCTGTTACAAGTGCTTATAAACTTTTCTTATTCAGAAACACTTTTAGTATTGCTCAAAACGTTATTTTAATTTAATTCCATAATTTCATCCTTTCCCCATATTTGTATATTTGTTTTTCTCCAGTGACTTCTGCTTGAGACTATTATATTCCTCTGGCAAAGGCATTGGTTGTCCGACTTGAGTACATTAGCATCACCTGGGGGCCTGTTAAAACACTGAATGTCTCCTGCAACCATGGTCTCTAATTCAAAAATCTAATCTGGGACTCAAATGTTTGCATTTCTAACAATTGTCAGAGTTGACTTAAGGATCACATCTAGAGAGAAGTAAAAGTTCTAGCAGTGAAATTGAGATTCACTAACTTAGAGATATCATTGAAGTGTATAGAATCTGAGGACAGAGCAGAGCTGAAGCTGCAATTAAATGTAAATGAGTGCTTTTCATACTCCAACTCCCTCAGGATCTATGGTTTGTGGTTACAAAGTGCTAAACTCAACCCCAGACCTACTGAATCCAAGCCCACACTTTAGCAAGATCCCCAGTGTTTTGCATTCCATTATAGTTTGATAGTTTGAGAATCCTGGACAAGACTTCCTCACAAATTTCAAGTTTCAGAAACAGAACTCAACTCAGGGAGTATTTGTATGGCTATTGCTCTGTGGCTGTGTTGTCCACCAGCTGATGATTAAGGTTTGTTTTGAAGAATTACCAGGTGTGGTGCCCTTTCACATAGGCAAGGGTTTAAAGCGTATGCCCTGGAGGCAAGCTGTCTTCCCCTCCCTACCCCTCCTGTAAGTCAGATGAAGGACATTCAATGATTGGTCTGGAAGAGATACTCATAAATTCTGAAAGTGGAATAAATCCAAAGACAGCCACAGTATTTCAGTTGCTCAATCTCATCAGACAGGCTTATTTAATACAGGACTATATCTGACCCCCAGTCAACGGAACTGAAATTGCAAGTTCAGTTTTGTGAAGGTTTTGACATAACCATGTTTGTTAAGATTAATGTTAAGCAGGTGTGCAGAGTTTGCCTGGGGCTCACACAGAACATTTGTGAGCAAGCAGGTGCATGCTTTTATTGAAGGAGTAGTTCCTTCCAGAAAGTGTTCCTACAGAGTAACACCAGAGTCATGTCTGAGTTCAAGCAGTCTTCCTTACAGTAATTTATGGAGAGCCCAACTTGTTTTCCAGGTAAGGGAGTGGGAGCAACTATAACACAGAATCTAAGGTATGGGGGTTACTGATAACTCGGGCAACAAGCAGAATCAGTTTTTTTGAGTCATTTTATGGTTAAAGGGCTCTGGCCAGCAAGAAAAGCGAAATGCCAAGGAAAGCTAGCTTCCTAGGGCGTGGAAAAGATGTTATGTTTAACCTTGGGACTGTTTTCTTGTCATAGTTGAGGGACAAGAACTGATTCTTCCTTTCTGTTTTCCATTCAAATGACCGATCCTAAAAGAGGAGGACATAGCCATCTAGACCAACCCACTCTGGTACTTCTTGGGCCACTAAAACAGTTGCTTTTTTGAGTAGAGCCTAGGATTACCAGGGATTAAATGTAACAGAGGGTATAAATGTTACCAGTATCAGCCTCTATTAAATACTTGTATCAGCAGCTGTTCCTCTTGCTTTCCATGGAATGTTCAATTTTGTTTTTAAGATTTATTTCATTGAAAGGCAGTTACAGGGGATGGGGGGAGAGAGAGAGATTCGCTCCCCAAATGGCCACAATGGCCAGGGCTGGGCCAGGCTGAAGCCAGGAACCAGGGGCTTCTTCCTGGGCGCCCATGTGAGTACAGGGGCCCAAGGACTTTGGCCAGCTTCTGTTGCTTCCCCAGGTGCATTATTGTGGAGCATGATCGGGAAGTGGAGCAGCTGAGTCTCAAGCCAGTGCCCGTATAGGGTGCCAGCATTGCAGGTGAAGGCTTAACCTGCTGTGCCACAACACCGACCCCTGGAATGTTCAGTTTTACAAATGATAAAATATTATATAGACAGCCGGCGCCTCGGCTCACTAGGCTAATCCTCCGCTTTGCGGCGCCAGCACACCGGGTTCTAGTCCCGGTTGGGGCACCGGATTCTGTCCCGGTTGCCCCTCTTCCAGGTCAGCTCTCTGCTGTGGCCAGGGAGTGCAGTGGAGGATGGCCCAAGTGCTTGTGCCCTGCACCCCATGGGAGACCAGGAGAAGTACCTGGCTCCTGCCATCGGATCGGTGCGGTGTGCTGGTTGTAGCGTGCCGGCCGCGGCGGCCATTGGAGGGTGAACCAACGGCAAAGGAAGACCTTTCTCTCTGTCTCTCTCTCTCTCACTGTCCACTCCTGCCTGTCAAATAAATAAATAAATAAATAAAAATAAAAAAAATATTATATAGACACTGGCTGGCACTGAGAGATAGTGGGGGTTAAGCTGCCACTTGCAACGCTTGCATCCTGTACCAGAGTGCAAGTTCAAATACCATCTGCTCGGTTTCGGATCCAGCTTCTTGATAATAGCACACCTGAGAAGGCAGCCTATAATGGCACTTGAGCTCCTACCATGCATGTGGGAGACCCAGAAGAAGGTCTTGGCTCCTTGTTTCAGCCTGTCTTCCTCCCTCTCTCACTCCCTCCCTCTTCCCTCCTTCCTTGCCTGCCTAACCCTGCCTTTCATAATGCATTTTTTAAAAGGAATTTATGGAAACCCATAAAGTATGGTAACCTAGAAATAATTTTCTGAAGAGGGGCTGACGCTGTGGCGCAGCTGGTTAATGCCCAGGCCTGAAGCACCAGCATCCCATATGGGTGCCACTTCTATTCCTGGCAGCTCCTCTTCTGATCCAGTTCTCTGCTATGGCCTGGGAAAGCGGTAGAAGATGGCCCAAGTCCTTGGGCCTCTGCACCCATGTGGGAGACCCAGAGGAAGCTTCTGGCTCCTGGTTCAGATCAGCACAGCCCCGGCAGTTTCAGCCAGTTGGGGAGTGAACCATCAGATGGAAGACCTCTCTCTCTCTTTCTCTCTCTCTCTCTCTCTCTCTCTGCCTCTCCTCTTTCTATGTAATTCTTTCAAATAAATAAATTAATTAAATCTTTAAAGAAAAAAATACTTTTCTGAATAAACAACATACTATTTTCTATGGTGATTGCACTATTTTACATTCCCACAAGCATTACTCAAGGTCTTCAGTTTCTCTACAATCTCACCAACATTTATATCGTTTTTGTTTGATTCTAATAATAGCCGATCTAATGAATATGAAGTGGCATGACAGTGATTTTGATTTCCATTTCCCTGATGGTTAATGATTTTGTATACATTTCACCACTTGCATGTCTATTTTGGAGAACTCTATTCAAGTCATTTGCCCATTTTCTTAAAATCAGGTTCTTGTTTAAAATTTTTTTGGGCAGGGGGAAAGAGAGAGAGGAAGGGAGGGAGAGAGGGAGGGAGGAAGGAACAGACAGGAGGGAGAGGGGAACAGGCGCACTCCTATCTGCTGATTCATTTCCCAAATGCTTGCAGTGGGCAGTACTGGGCTGGAACAAATTCAGGAGCTGGACACTCAATCCAGGTCTCCCGCGTGGGTGGGAAGAACCCAGTTATTTAAATCGTCATCATTGCTTCCCAGGGTCTACATTAACAGGAAACTGGAATAGGAGCTGCAGCCAGGCATTGAACGTAGGTATGCTGATATGGAACATGAGGATATTAATCACTAGGCTAAATGCCTGTCCCTAAAATATGTTGGGTTTTTATTTTGTTGTAGAAGTTCTGTGTGTATTTTGTATACATAATTTTAGATATATTTTAGGTATATGATTTGCACATATTTTCTCCCATTCTGTGGACTGCCTTTTCATTATATTGATTGCATCCTTAGATGCACAGAATGTTTTAATATTGATGTACTCCTGTTTGTGATGTTACTTCAGAAAGTTCATGAAGGAGCAGCTGTTGTGGTACAGTGGATTAACTGCCCCTTGGGATGCCCACATCTCCTGTTAGGGCACCAATTTGAGTCCCAGCTACTCTGCTTCTAATCCAGCTTTCTGCTAGTGCATCCTGGGAGGTAGCAGCAGGTGACTAAGGTGACAGGGCCCTGTCAGCAATGTGGGAGACCAGGATTGAGTTCTAGGTCCTAGCTTCAGCATGGCCTATCCCTGGCTGTTGGTGAACCAGTAGGTAGATGATTTAGCTCTGTGTGTACATATGTATGTCTCATTTGTTCTGCCTTTCAAGTAGATGAAATATAATTATTTTAATTCATGGCAAATGAAATATAAAAAGTTTTTGGTGCAAAAGATTTTAAATATATGTGTAGTTTTTTTTATAATGTACATTTCCATAAACTTTTTTTTTGACAAGCAGAGTTACAGTGAGAGAGAGAGAGAGAGAGAGAGAAGTCTTCGTTTTCCATTGGTTCACCCCCCCCCCCCAAATGGCCGCTATGGCTGGCGTGCTGTGGCCAGTGCACTGTGCCGATCCAAAGCCAGGAGCCAGGTGCTTCCTCCTGGTCTCCCATGTGGGTACAGGGCCCAAGCACTTGGGCCATCCTCCACTGCCTTCCTGGGCCACAGCAGAGAGCTGGCCTGGAAGAGTAGCAACCAGGACAGAATCCGGGGCCCTAACCAGGACTAGAACCCGGTGTGCCGGCACTGCAGGTGGAGGATTAGCCTAGTGAGCCGCGGCGCCAGCCCATTTCCATAAACTTTTGAAATACTCTTGCATTTTTTCTTTTCTTAACTTTAGATCTAGTCATATTAAAGAAATAATTGCCAAATCCAATGTTTGGAAGTTTTTTTAAGAGTTGTAAAATTTTATTTTTTTTTAAAGATTTATTTATTTGAAAGTGAGAGTTAAACAGAGAGAGAAGGAGAGGCAGAGAAAGAGGTCTTCCATCTGATGGTTCACTTCCTAATTGGCCATAACAGCCAGAGCTGCTCCAATCCAAAGCCAGGAGCTTCTTCTAGTCTCCCACATGGGTGCAGGGGCCCAAAAACTTGGGTCATCCTCTACTGCTTTCCTAGGCCATAACAGAGTGCTACATCAGAAGTGGAGCAGCGTGACTCCAACTGGTGCACACGTGGGATGCCAGCACTGTTAGGTGACAGCTTTACCTGCTATGCCACAGTGCTGTGGCCCCAAGAGTTGTAAAATTTTAGCTCCTATATATTTGATGTATTTTGAATTCATTCTTATATGTGATATAAGGAAGTGATCCAACTTTATTCGTTTGAATATGCTTATCCTGTTTTCCTAGCACTACATGTTGAAAAGATCAGATTCCTACATTGAATATTATTGGCACCCTTGTCAAATCATTTGACTATATTTGATGGTTTGTTTTGGGCCTTCTATTCCATTGATCTCTATGTTTTACATTATGCTAACATTGGTAAGTCTTTCATAAGTCTTATTATGATTTTAATTTATAGTTTAGAAGTATATTATATATACATTTGATTATATTATAAACAGGTATGTTTTTTAAAAGATTTATTTATTCATTTGAAAGCCAGAGTTACACACAGAGAAAAGGAGAGGCAGAGAGAGAGAGAGAGAGGTCTTCCATCCGATGGTTCACTCCCCAGCTGGCTGCAATGGCCGGAGCTGTGCTGATCCAAAGCCAGGACCTTCTTCCGGGTTTCCCATGTGGGTGCAGGGGCCCAAGGACTTGGGCCATCTTCCACTGCTTTCCCAGGCCATAGCAGAGAGCTGGATCGGAAGTGGAGCAGCCAGGACTAGAACCAGCACCCATATGGGATGCCAGCGCTTCAGGCCAGGGCATTAACCTGCTGCGCCACAGCACTGGCCCCAAACAGCTAGGTTTTTTTACTTTGAAATTCATCTTCAGCAATTCTCAGTTTATACAACTTTTTATGAAGAAACTTTGGTTATGTCTGGACAAAGGAACACATTTTTACTTGTTAGTAAAATCACCTCCACTGTTCAAATACTCAGCTATTGTGCTCAGGTTGCAAGATGTCAAGAGACAGTGAAGTATATAAAAGGTGCTTTACAGAAGTCTAGATGGCTAGGAGTTTTTCCTTACTGAAATGTGGGGAAAACTTACTGAGATATTGAGTTGGTAACATCAAAGGAGTATAAGCAGAAACGTAGTAAGAAAGCTAAAGAAAACGTAAAGGGCACAACAAGGCTGTGGTTTACCTTAAACATAGACTTTCACATCCGTTGAAAGTCCTGGGTTTCTTGCTAACTGGTTACTGAAAGGAGCACCTTTGTTTTTCCAGCCGTAGTTCAGTGCCATTAGGCATTTGCCTTGAAGCATGATGGCTATTTCTCAGCCATGGCTATCATGGTTTAGGGTTGTCCTCCCAGATGAATATTAAACATTAATGTTTTTACTAGGATGCTTGTTACTTGTTCCAGGTCTCTGTGTATAATCAGTTTTAGTTTTGATAATAGGAAGAAAAGGAGGGTATCACCACTACCTAATACAGTGCTCTGTACCTGGGTTATCTTTTACTTTTAAAATTTTATTCATATAAAAGGAAGAAATTTCATGTATTTCATATTTATAGTTTTTAAGAACATAGTGATACTTCTCATGCTACCTTCTCTCCCTCCCTCCCTCTCCCTTACTACCACCCTCCTTCCTCTTTCCTTTCTTATTTTTCTTTTAATTTTTTCAATGACATACTTTCAATTTACTTTATAATCACAAGATTAATCCTGCACTAAATAAAGAATTCAATAAATAATAAGTAGAAAAACCAGTTTCTCAGGAGTATGGACAAGTGCTATAAACAATAATCAAATCTCAAAATGTCAATTTCACTCATATACATTACTTTTTTGTACTCCATATATTAGCTACCACAAATAAAATATATATTTGTGTTTTGGGGAATGGCTTATTTCACTACACATAATTATTTCTAATTGCACCATTTTGTTGTGAAAGACAGGGTTTCATTCTTTTTTATGGCTGAGTAGTAGTCCATCATGTGTATATGTACCATAATTTCTAGCATTTCTACTGTGACTTGTAGGAATAAATGCAATGAGAAAGATTGTTAGTCATGTTATTCTTAACAGGATTCTTGACAACATTTATTCTGCAGAGCAAGCTCAGCAACCCTTTTCTCTAAAAGGCACATCAGTATGTGTGTGTGTGTGTGTGTGTGTGTGTGTGTTTGAGGAAGAGGATACTGGATTCTGGCAAGTTCAAAATTTTAGAGTAAACTGGCAATCTGAGGACTGAGAAAAGACTAGGAGGAATGAGTCTGAAAATTCCCTTTCTCAGTGACCCAAGTCTGTTTTCTCTTTAGGAAGGCCTACAACTGATTTAATGAGGCCCTCCTACATTATGGGTGGTAATCTGCTTTGCTCAAAATCTACGGACTTAAATGTTAATCTCACCCAAAGAATGTATTCACGGTAATATCCAGGCTAATTTTGACCAAATAGACACTATAGCCCAGCCAAGCCAACACATAAAATATACATCACCAGTTCATCCATTGTCAATATGGCTCCCACATGCAGCTCCTTAAACCATTCTCAATCTCCGAATTAAAATACTAACAAGATCATACATGATTTAGAGCATCTACAGTCTCCAGGGCATCTTGCTCCAGCCCTAAAAGATGTTAGTACATAGGGCTGGTATTGTGCCATAGCATTTTAGTGCAAAAAATTTCAAAATCATGTAGTTTTTAATAATATACTTTTTCCATGAGCAGTTTGAAGATCCCTTTTATGAATGAATTTCAAAATATTTACACCAAGGTAAACTTAACTTTTAATACTGTTTTCTCTGAGTTTCTTTGAAGTACCCTTGTACATGTTTACCCAGAACCTTGCCTCATCATTATTTGGTTTGGAGTATCCAATGGTGATATTTGTGTGTATCTGTTGCACATCCCATCATGGATTAGCATATTATTTTTACTCCTGGAAATGGTCATTAGTGTCTTTAAATCTAGTCAGATTAGAGTACTAATTCCAGAAATCCCAGAACTAATTCATAATATTTATATTTTGGTTTCTCTAGTAGCATTTGTGTTAATCTGTGTCAGGGTTTTCTAAGGAAACAGAATGAATAGGTTGTGGATATAACCTCTCTCCTTCTCTTCATTTATTTTAAGGAGTTGACTCATTGTTAAAACTGGCAGGTTTAGGGGCTGGTGCTGTGGCGCCATGGGTTAAAGCCATAGCCTGTCACACCAGCATCCCATATAGGCACTAGTTTGAGTCTTGATTGCTCCTTTTCTGATCCAGCTCTCTGCTGTGGCCTGGGAAAGCAGGAGAAGATGGACCAAGTCCTTGGGCCCCTGCACCCGTGTGGGAGACCTGGAGGAAGCTCCTGGCTCCTGGCTTCAGATCGGCTCAGCTCTGGCAGTTGCAGTCATTTGGGGAGTGGATCAGTGGAATGGAAGACCTCTCTCTCTTTTTCTCTGCCACTCCTTCTCTCTCTGTGTAACTTGATTTTGAAATAAATAAATAAAATGATTCTTTAAAAAAAAAAAACTGGCAGGTCTAAAATCTACAGAGCAGATGAAAGACCCAGAGAAGAGATGATGTGGCAACTGTAAATCAAAGGCAGAACTTTAGTTTCCTAAAGGTCTTTCTTCTGTTTTCTCATAAAGCTTTCCATTGACTGGATGAGGCCCAAGCCCCACCTGTTTTATGCAGGGTAAACCGATTTACTAAATCTAGTCCAAATGTCCATGGCTATGTTCCAATAGCTATTTATAGATGCTGAAATTTGAACTTCATATAATTTTTACTTGTCATAAAATAATATTTTGTTTTTATCCTTCCACAGCACCAATAATTATAAAAATATTAAATAATTACCATCTGACAGGACCATATTTCGGGGTAGCAGGTTCTCAACTCCTTGAGTAGGGCAATGTTAAGAGCTAATACACTGGAGCCAGAGTGATGGGCTTGAATCTCAACCAGTTGAGAGCTATACAACTTTGAGTATGATTTTTATGTATTTATTTATTTGAAAGAGTTACACAGAGAGAGAAGGAAAGGCAGAGAATGAAAGGGGAGGGGGGTCATCCATCCGCTGGTTCCCCAATTGGCCACAATGGCCAGACCTGTGCTGATCTGAAGCCAGGAGCTTCTTGTGGGTCTCCCACACAGGAGCAGGGGCCCAAGGACTGGGCCATCTCCTACTGCTATCCCAGGCCATAGCAGAGAGCTAGATAGGAAGAGGGGCAGCCAGGATTTTAACTGGTGCCCATATGGGATGCCGGCACTTCAGGCGGCAGCTTTACCCGCTATGCCACAGCACTGGCCCCTGAGTATGATTCTTTACCTCTCTGGACCTGACTTTCCTAATATGTGAAAGAGATAAAGAAGAGAACTAGCTCACTTAGCTGTTGAATGGATCATTATTTTTTTGAAGATTTATTTATTTTATTTGAGAGAGTTATACAGAGAGGGAGAGAGGGAGAGGGAGGTCTTCCATCCACTGATTCACTCCCCAGTTGGCCACAAGGAGCTGTGCCGATCTGAAGCCAGGATCCAGGAGCTTCTTCCAGGTCCCCCATGCGGGTGCAGGAGCCCAAGGACTTGAGCCATATTCTACTGCTTTCCCAGGCCATTTCAGAGAGCTGGATCAAAAGTGGAGCAGCCAGGCTGAACCAGTGCCCATATGGGATGCCCGCACTGCAGGCAGCAGCTTTACCCACTATGCCACAGCACCTGCCCCCAATCACTATTTTTTTTAAAGATTTTTAAGATTTATTTATTTACTTATTTGAAAGACAGAGAGAGAAAAGGAAAGATAGAGAGATAGGTCTTCCATCTGCTAGTTCATTTCCAAAATGGCCACAGTGATCAGGGCCTGGGCCAGGCTGATGCCAGCAGCTTCATCTGGGTCTCCTACATGAGTGTAGAGGCCCAAGTACTTAGACCATCTTCTGCTGCTATCCCAGGCACTTTAGCAGGGAGCTGGTTCAGAAGTGGAGCATCAGGACTGGCACTGTGGTGTAGCAGGTAAAACTGCTACCTGGAGAGACAGCATCCCATACAAACACCAGTTTGAATCCTGGCTGCTTCACTTCCTATCTATCTATCTTCTAATGCATCTGGGGAAGCTGTGGAAGATAGCCCAAGTACTTGGACTCCTGCATCCATGTGGGAGACCTGGAGGAAGCTCCTGGCTTTGGCTTGGCCCAGTCCTGGTTATTTGGGGACTGAACCAGTGGATGGAAGAATCTCTCTCTCTCTCTCTCTCAATCTCAATCTCAATCTCACACACACACACACACACACACACAGCCTTTCAAATAAATCTTAAAAAATAAAACAATGAAATGTAGCACCTGGGACTCAAACTAGCACCCATCTTGGATACTGGTATCACAGACCAGGGCTTACCCAGCTACACCACAGTCCTGGCCCCTGTATGGGCTGCTGTTAAATTATCCAGAAAAGTATTTTGTCTAGAGAAATAGGCAGGGTATGTGCGTGTACAAGTAAATGAAAAAAAAAATAAAGATAGCTGCTCACATATTATGTAATTTTTAAAATCTGTTATTTATTTTTTATTGTGGGAGGGAGACAGAGAGAGATACTGAGATCCTGTCTCTGGTTCACTCCCCAAGTGTCCACAACAATTCTGGGCCAGCCTAGGCAGAAACCAGGAAGCTGGAGATCAGTTTATCTCCCAGGTGAGTGGCAGAGATCTAAGTACTTGAGCCATCACCTGCTGCCTTCCAGGGTATACATTAGCAAGAAGCTTGAATGGATAGTGGATCCAGGATTCAAACTCAGGTGTTCTCATATGGGATGCAGGCATCCCAAGGTTTCAAATGATGGCTTAACTGCTGTGTCAAACACCTGGAATGCAAATTTCAAACCATCTAGTCTTTAAAGTCTTATGACCTTATATTTATGCTTCTGAATTTTTAAAATTATATATTAAATATATTTTCCATGAATTTAATATTTACATGTGTGTATAACTACATATATCTATCTGTGAGTGGCTGGCAGACAGATATACAGTACTTCCACACACTAGTTTAATCTCCAATTGCCTGAAAGGGCCATGGCTGGAATAGGCTAAATGGAGCCAGGAATTCAATCCAGGTCTCCACCTGGGTGGCAGGGATCCAACTACTAGAGTCATCATCTGCTGCTTCCCAGGGCTCACCTTAACAGGGAGCTGGAATCAGGAGCTGGAGCCTGGAGTCCAACCCAAGTACTCTGATAAAGGACTAATTGGTAGGCTAAATGATTGCCATTAAATTTTTAAATATATCATAAAAAGGCTTAAGTCCCTCTAAAGTATTGTTTGCATTGTTGTTGCCTACATCACATAGGTTTTTAAGGTTTAAAATAAATTCACAAGAGCCTCAAATTTATTTGTGTCTTATAATTGGTATGCCTTTTATATTTGTTTTGGTATAACACATTAGAATATAACTTAAATAAGTATTTTAGTAAGTATAATTGTTTCATTTTTTAATTTTAAAAATATATTTATTTATTTAAAAGGGTAGGGGAGAGAGAAATCTTCCATCTGCTGGTTCACTGCACAGATGACTGTAATGCCCAGGGCTGGGCTAGGCTGAAGCCAGGAGCTTTTTCTAGGTCTCTGAAGTGATTAGCAGGGGCACAAGCACTTGGGTGTCCCTCTGCTCCTTTTCCCATACAGTTAGCAGGGAGCTGTATCCAAAGCAGAACAGCTGGGCCTCAAACCAGCGTGTATATGGGATTCTGGCATTGCAGGTGGCAACTTAACCCAGTTAGCCAAAATACTGGCCCCATTATTTTAATATTAGTTGAAATGTTATTTAAGATCAGTATTGTGTTTTAAAGACTCTTCCACAAAAAGTACTATTGGCAGAGAAAGTGGACTGGGGATTGTTTGGGGACCACAAATGAAATTTTACTATCATTTATATTTAAAACCTAACCTGATTTTCTATTTTGTTTTACATGTAGTTGTATATCTTTTATGATATTTTTTCTGCCTCCAAAAGGCTCTTTACAGCCGGCAGCATGACTTACTTGGTTAATCCTCCGCCTGCCGTGCCGGCATCCCAGCATCCCATACGGGTGCCAGATTCTAGTCCCTGTTGCTCCTCTTCCAGTCCAGCTCTCTGCTGTGGTCCAGGAAGGCAGTGGAGGATGGCCCAAGTGCTTGGGCTCCTGCATCCGCATGGGAGACCAGGAAGAAGCACCTGTATCCTGGCTTCAGATCTGCATAGCTCTGGCCGTGGCAGCCATTTGGGGAGTGAACCAACAGAAGGAAGACCTTTCTCTCTGTCTTTCTCTCTCTCACTGTCTATTATAACTCTACCTGTCAAATTAAAAAAAAAAAGGCTCTTTACCCACGTAGCAGTATGTGTTATTTTCATTCCTGGGCTGAACTTTGTATGCTGCCAAAAACTAAGAAAATACAAAGGAATTTATATGATTCAAAAGATTCCAATCTACCATTACATTTTAGACTAGAATTTCTTAATGTTGAATCAGTGTTTGAGAATTTAATAAAAGCTTAGAGTAGAAATCTTCTAAATCATTCAATCTTTTCCTCTAGAGTGGACCTATTTTCCTATGAAAATTTAGACTATATTTGAAGCTATTATTTACCTATATTGTACAAAAAGCAAAAAAATTAAAAGACAATGCTGTAAGAATTGTACATCATGCCCAACTAGAATTTCAGTGGAGCAGAATGTCTGTGTTTAAGGCCTAAAGATTTTGAGGTTAGAATCCAGCCATTGTCTTCTGGCTCTTTTTGAATGTTTTCCATTGTTTGTCTTTCCTTAGTCAAAATTTCCTGATGGTAGACAGTGTTTGAGAAAACCACTGCATTGCAAAGTAGGGAGCCTGGGAAATCCCACGATGTGCAGATTTAGTTATGCAAGACCCAAAGGTGGAAAGGACAACTTTGGTATAGAGAATTATACCCAGTTGAGAACTACAGCAAGTTCACAGTAGGGATATCATAAAGAGCAAATATTTCATAATTCCTGGGCATACTTGCACTTTTAAAAAAAAATGCACCTTATTATAGACTCACTATTTATTGATTGATTTTTCTTTTTTTTAAGGGAAAACGAGGAGAGAGAATGAGAATGAATGAATTAATGTCTTATCCACTGGTTCACTCCCTGAATGCTGACAGAAGTCAAGGTGGAACCAGGCGGAAGCTAGGAGTCCAGAACTTGGCCTGAATCTTTAACATGAGTATAATATCCAAGTCATTACCGCTGCCTCCCAAGCTCTGCATTAGCAGGACGCTGGAATTAATCAGGAGTAGAGCTGGCATTCAAACTCAGGCACTCCAATAGGGGATGCAGGCATCCAAAATTTTTTTTTTTAAGAATAATTATTTATTTGAAAGGCAGAGTTACAGAGAAAAAGAGACAGAGAGGTCTTGCATCTGCTGGTTACTCCCTAAATGGCTACAATGGCCATGGCTGGGCCAGGTCAAAGCCAGGAGCCAGGAGTTTCATCTGGGTCTTCCGCATGGTTACAGCGGTTCAAGAACTTGGGCCGTCTTCCGTTACTTCTTCCAGGCCATTAGCAGGAAGCTGGACAGGAAGTGAAGCAGCCTGGACTCAAATTAGCATTGCAGGCAGCGACTCAACCCACTGTTTTGCCAGCACCCTACCCCTGCCTCATGCAAAGTAATGTTTTCATCATGGCAAAAGATTGCCACTTCACACTTTTTTCTTTGAAGTTCCCTTCTTATTACTGATTTATGTGAAGTTTTGAAGTAGTGGGTATATATTCATCATCTAAGTATACTACAAGTATGTTCTCTTGCCTCTTTTCTTTTACCTTTGCTTATTATGTGCTGTTTTCAGGAGAGATTACTTGAACAACTTTTACTGTAACATTTGCTTGTTTATTTGGTGCAGTTCATAAATTCAATGACAGATTAGTAAAGAAAAATGAGATTATTCAGTGAGAAGTCAGTTTTCTACTCTTGTCCACCAGTTGTCTTCTCCTTTGAGGTAAGGACATTTTTTGTATATCCTTTTCTGTTTGGTTGTATTTCTGTTTTCCTCTGCTTTTTATTTCAGAGCTGTTTTATACGTACATAATATTGTTAACATGTTCTTTGGTACATATATTACAATTAATGTACTGGTATCATGTGTATTACCACAAACTAAAGTTCATACTTTATTCAGATGTCTTCAGCTTCTCCAAAGTGTCCCTTTTCTGTTTCAGATCTTTCAGGATATTGCACTATATTTAGTACTCATTTTGCAATACTCTTCTTGGTTGTGGTAATTTCTCAGGCTTTTAAAAAATGCTTATTCTTTTATTTGAAAAGCAGAGAAACAGAGAGGAAGAGACAGACACCTTCCATCTGTTATTTACTCCCTAAATGGCCATGAGCAAGGGGCCTGGCATACCATCCAGATCTCCCATATGACAGGGGTCCAAAGACCTAAGCCATCCTCTCCTTTATTGCCAGGCATATAAGCAGGGAGCTGGATCAAAAAGTGGAGCAGCTAGGACTCCAACCAGCACTGCAGGCAGTATCTTTTTTTTTTAATTTACTTATTTATTTGAAAGGTAGAGAGATGAAGGGAGAGAGAGAAGGAGAGAGGGAGAGGAAGAGAGAGATATTCTTTCCTCTGCTGGTTACCTTCGTTTGGCAGCAACAACTGTGCTGATCTGAAGCCAGGAGCTTCTTCCGGGGCTCCCATGTGGGTGCAGGGGCCCAAGGACTTGGGCCATCTTCTAGTGCTTTCCCAGGACATAGCAGAGAGCTGGATCCAAAGTGGAGCAGCCAGGACTCAACCAGCACCCATATGGGATGCCAACATAGCAGGTGGCAGCTTTATCTACTAAGCCAGAGCACTGGCCCTGGTACGCAGTAACTTAACCTGCTCCACCACAATGTAGGCCCCAGACTTTGTTTTTCATAACCTTGACAGTTTTGAGGATTACTGGTCAGTTTTTTTTATAATGTATTTCAATTGGGATTTCAAAAAACTGACTTAAAATTCACGTGACATAAAATTCACCTTTTTAAATTACCTAAATCAGTGTTGTTTTTTTTTTTATATTCACAGTATTTTCTCAGTATCCCTACTAACTAATTCCAGATCATTGTCATCATCCCTGAAAGAAAACCTCATTAACTATTGGCAATCCCTCCACATTTGCTACTCTCTTATTCCCTAGAATATCTAATAATATTTCTGTCTGCATAGATTTGCCTGTTCTTAACATTTCATATAAAGGAGTCATACAATATATGACCTTTCGTGTTTGGATTTTTTCACTTACCATAATGTTTTTGTGGTTCATCCATGTTGTGTCATGAATCAATACCTCATTTATGGTTATGTGGCTGAATGATATTTCATTACATGGCTATTCCATGCCATACTATATTTTGCTTATCCATTTATTACTTGATGGACATTTGAGTCATTTCACTTTTTTTGACTATTATGAATAAGGCCTCTGAAAACTCATATACATATTTTTGTATGGATGTATTTTCAGTTCTTTTTGGTATATACTTAGGAAGATAATTGTTGGTCACACTCACATGTTAACATTATGGTTAACATTTTTAGGCATTTGCAAACTTTTCCCAAAGTGAGTTCACAGTTTTACATTTCATTTAGCAATGTCTCCACCTACTCTACAACACTTGTTATTGTCCTTTTAATTTCAACCCTAAGTGGCATCTCACTGCGCTTTTCATTTGTATTTTCCTAATGATTCATGGTGAGGATCTTTTCATGTGCTGATTACACATCTGTATACCTTTTCTTGTTTTGTTTTGCAGAACTATATATTTAAATTATTTGCCTACTTAAATTTTTCTTATGATTTTATTAAGTTGAAAATTTTCTCTACTATGCTGGATGCTATATCCTTTTCAGCTTTATCATTTGCAAACATTTTAGCCATTTCTTCTGTTTGTCTTTTCACTTTCTTAATAGTGTGCTTGGAAGCATGTAACTGAAATCAACTTTATTTTGGTTGCTTATGTTTTATGTATCACAACTAGGAAACCATTGCCTACTCTAAGGTTATACAGTTTTATATTTTATTCTAAGTGAATTTCAAAATTTTATATTTTAAAATTTTACATATAAGTGTTCCATTTTGAGTTAATTTGGGTATATGGTGTGATGCAAGGTTTCTGATTACTTTTCTCAGATCCTCTAGTGTCAGTTCTAAAAAAGTTAGTTTTATTCTAGATTTAGTGTTTTTAAGCTCATCTTTTTGAAATGATAAGCACATCCTTTTTCTTTTATTAACCCACTAGTCCTCAACACTGGCCCCATAAGCTCATATTCTTAAGTGTCTAGTTTAGGGGTAATGCAGACTTTGTATTAAAACAAAGAAATTATTGAGACATATTAGGGTCTAGTAACATACCCAAGGCAAACTTTACTGGCAGGTTTGTTTTCTGTACCTTTGCTAAAACTGACATAAATTATGCCCTTAAGGAGATGACTGAGCCAAATGTAAATTTTCTTTGGATTGTCTGTAAGGCCCAAGGCCTTCTCAAGAATCTGGAGCCCACTTCTTCTTCTTCTTTTTTTTTTTTTAATTGTTGATTTATTTATTTTCATCTACTTGAAAGAGCAACAGAGATAGAAAGAGAAAGAGACCTCCAGTCTTCAGGTTCACCCCTCAAATGTCTGCAACAGCTTGGGCTGGGTCAGGCCAAAGCCAGGAGCCCACAACTCCATGTGGTCTCCCATGTGGGTGGCAAGGGCTCATGTATTTACTTGGGCCATCATCATCTGCTTGTAGGTGTATTATAAGAAAGCTGAATGGGAAATAGAACAGCCAGAACTAGAACCAACATTCAGATATGGGATGCGGGTGTCCCAAATGGCAGCTTAACTTGTTGCACCACAGTGCTCATCCCCTCCCCCCAAAGTCCACATTCTCATTCAGTTGAATCAACAAGAGATTATGAGATGGGCAGAGTTTTTAAAGAGAGCAGGCCAGAACCTGGAGAAAATAGGTTTAAGAAACTAGATAGTCAAGTAACTTAGAGTTAAGAATTACATGTAATTTTAATAATACTAGCATTTTAGTTATACAAAGTAATTCATGATCATTGCAAAAAGTTGTACAACAAAAAGTAAAAAAAAAAAAGAAAAAAGATAATCATTACATTCAAGAGAAGCTTCTGAGAGAGGACTCTGATGTGTGTACCCGGTTATGTGTGGTATACTGCAATGAAAAAAAGGACATTAGCAAAAAAGAAAACTGAGGAAATCTGAATAAGACATAGATTTTATTTAACAACAATCACAAAAACTAAATACCTGAATCCTATTCCCAGAGGAAGTATCAATGTAATATTTGGTGCAATTCATTCTAAGACCCAACAATTCTATAGGCCCTGTTCTCAATATGTATTTTCAGTTTGTCAAATTGTTATTTAAAATAAATATAACCCTTATCTTACAGATTTGGAAAACAGTGCACATAATTTCCAAGGTTACATTGTTGTCAAGCACAAAAGCTAGAATTTGAATCCACAGACCCTGAATCCAAACATATTGTTTTCTGCACTAGATTGTACTGGTATATATTATTTCATAATTTTTCAATATGAAAATAAAAATGTTTATAATGTATTTTCATATACTTATTTTTACATTATATTTTACTATTCCCTTCATGATTATAGTTAATGTCTCATGTGACTATACTGAACATTTAAAAATTAACCATTAGAAATTAAATTTTTGTAGTTCAAAAAACCTTTGGGTATTTATAACTTTATATGATAACTTGTATTATTCATCCTATAAGACATTATTTATGACAACCATATTGTATTGTTTATGTGTACACAACTTATTTAGGCTGTTCACTCTAATGCACATTACATAGTTTCTAAGGTTTTATTATGATGAAACTGGGTATTGGTGTTTCTGCATACTTGTGTGAATACAGGATCATTGGAAAGTGAATAGTAGTTTAGGGAGTTAAAGAGGGGATTTTAGTTGTTTGTTACCCATTAATCCAATACCACCTCTAGTTCTTTGAGAGGGACAATTGAGAAAAGGGCAATGGTATGCAAAATACTATGCAAATATAGCTTAAGGATTATTTCCTCAGCTTCCTGTTATCAGCATTGTTTTCTCCCCAGGCTACAAACAATGTGGAAATTTTGGAGTTACCAATGCATCTGTTACATCTGTAGACAGGATATCGCTAGGTCAAAGGTTGTATATTTGTTTTTTGAAACTGTATGAATGTACCTGTGTTCCTCCATTCTGGTTAGCATAGCTTATTTTTTAAAATGTATCCTACTTCAGGTAAAGAAAGATTATTTTAAAGACTGTAGATAAAGATATAAGTTGTTTTAAAGAGAACAATAGCTGATTTTCCTATTTGAACTATCCATTCTCTTTTAGACTTTAATTAAAAGATTCAAGTGAGAATAATTTTCATGGTTTATAAAAAAATCTAGAAATTAAAAAAAGGGGGAACATCACACCAAATGTGAATAATGCAGCATCTATTTTAGAGTTACAGATATTCTGGACAAAATTTCAAGAAACTGGCACTTTTACATTGATTATTGCTCTAGTCAATTTAAAGATTTTTATTTATTTGAGAGAGAGAGAGATACGGGGGTGGGGGGAGAGAAATGTCTTCGTTCCGCTGATTCACTCCCCAAATGGCCGCAGAGGCTGGAGCTGGGGGTCATCTCCGATTTCAGGCTGATCCGAAGCCAGGCGCCAGAGCTTCCTCCGGGTCTCCCTCGCGAGTGCAGGGGCCCAAGGACTCGCGCCATCTCCTACTGCTTTCCCAGGCCACAGCAGAGCGCGGGGTGGGAAGTGGAGCAGCCGGGACTAGAACCGGTGGCCATTTGCGATGCTGGCTCCGGCCCGATACGCCACAGTGCCGGCCTGGGTTCCGCTCAATTTAACTTTCCAAATCAGAGCTTCTGAACGGCCTATAGGAATACCTAAGGGTAATTTTAAGCATGATTGGACAGTGTTGCCGCGAAAATATTTCTAGACTAGAAAATATCTGAATATCCGGGTTTTAGAGAGTTTCTCTCAGAGTAGCACTGTAGCCGGAGCTGGGGGTCCAGTAGCCCCCTCCCGTCAGGGTCTTCTGGGTCAGAGAGCATTTTGCCCCCCACTCCTGCCCCCCACAACCCGCACTGCGGCAAGCGGGCACGCATGCGCGGCCGCAGCGGCAAACTGACGCGCGTGCGCAGTCGGGGAGGTACGATAAATCTGCGTTGCGGCAGCGAGTCCGGCGCAGAGTTCCGGCGCTGCCGGAGATGCCTGACGCTTCGGCCTGAGGAGCGGTCAGTGACGCGATGGAGCGAGCAAGGTCGGTGCGGCGGCAGGCTTCTTTTAGAAGCAGCCTGAGGAATGTTCATTTTTCTTCAGCTATTCCAAGTTTGCAGGACTTGGAGTATTGAATGAACTGGGAAATAGGGTCCTAAAATCCTTTGTTCTGGAGAAACAGACTGGACGCCTTTGGAGGCTTGGGACTCGGCCATCCTGCCGCCATGGGTACCCGAGCTGCGCGGTCATGTCCCCGTATCTGTCCGATCTCGTCGTGTTGTGAGTGAAGCTTTGTCTTTCCGATCTGAGGCAGTGACTGGCGGTAGGGTGTGTGTTGATGGCGGCAGTGGCGGTGGGAGTACGTAGGAGCAGCCGCGCGCACCGCGGGAAGGGTTTCCGGGGGGTATGTCAAGGTTTCGGCGGCGCGGTGCGGGCTGGGGTATGCCGAGGTGGCTTCGACCGGAGAGGGTACATCAACAGGTCCGTGACGTAGGGAGGGGGCACGGCCGGCCACAGTCATCCCGACCTGTGGAGAGGGAGGTCTCGCGGCAGAGTGACCGCGCCATCGGAGGGGTGGGAGGAGATGAGGTCTGCTCAGTTCTCATGGCAGTGGCGCCACCGGGACATCTGAAGTGCAATGGGAAGATTGTATGTCGAGGTGAGCACAGCTCTGGCGTCGGAAAGATTTGTCTGTCAGAAGCGACTGGGTGGAAGCTGCAGGTTGATCGCTGTGATGTGGGAGACGTGAGAGGAAGATAAGAGGGGCTGAGGAGGCTTTAGTCTGAGGAAAACAAGAATTTAAGATTTTCTGTGGCTTATTGCAGTGGTCTAGTTTGCAAATTGTGATCATGCTATTTTTAAAACTGCTCCGCCCCTACAATGAAGCGAAGACTGCAGAAACATTTGTTTTCCTTGTATTTTACTGGTTTACTACCCGTCACGTTTGTGGGGAATGGTATGCTAGGTAAATACTGTGCAGAACTTTTATACATATTTTGACGTGCGTGAAATGACATCACAGGGGCTTCTTTTTCTGTTTGGGGCTTATCTTTGTGTTTCGAATTAGGGAATCTGGGGATCGCACGGTGGTCCTACGCCTGTCAACGCCATTGTGCAATTCTCTAAAGATGGCCGCTGCTGCAGAGTCGCGGATCTGCGCAAGCGCGGCAGGGTGGGGGGCGGCTGCCCCCTCCCCACAATATAGCAGGCAAGGAGGTAGCACAAGTCCGCCCGGCTTCCGCCCTTTTAGAATTCTACCAGCAAACATTCCAAAGGGGAGGAATCTAGCAGGTTGAAATGAATGGCTGCCCACTACTCAAAGTGTCGCAGTGGGGAGGTTGCGCAGGCGCAGTGGACATGACAGTTACTTCTGCCTAAGGTGGGGCGGGTTGTGGGGAGGGGGTTGCGTAGCCTCTGGCAGAGGAGCATAGCAGCTACCCCCTCTACCTGGCTCTTCTAGCTACTGCGCTTTCCCGCTCCTGCTGCAGCACAGTACAACAGTGAGAATGGGTAGTGCAGGCTCCACATGGAAGGCTTTGCAGCATCCCCCTCTCCACAGTGCTGCAGTGGAAGATGGAAAGAATGAGGGGGAGGTCAGGGATTTCTACAGCCTCTGCTTGTGTGGGATGGCAGCTGCAGTGTAATTCTGCCATACTGTTGCAGTAGACTGGAGCAGTGGGGGTCTAGAACTCACCAGCCACACAGCCATTTCAGGACCTGTTGTGCTGCAGGCAGCTGCATCCTTGGTAGAGATTTGTCTGGAAAAGCTTATCTTTCAGTTTCATAAATTCTCTTTTGATTGTATTGTACACAGCCTAATTCTCTTATCAAAATGGATTCAGTAACTCTCCCATAGCTTTTGATTTCTGGTTTCCAGAGTTGATAACTGAACAGTTGCTTCATCAAGAATTTTATCCTTCATCTCTGGATTTTCCATTGTGAAGCTGTTGCATAGATAATTTTCTTAAACCGGGTTGGGGGAAGGGCTGGGGGAATCGGGGTATGGTCCCAACCAAGGTGAGGGGTGTATCAAACACAGGGCTAGGAACTGAAAGCTGAAATTTTGTTTGCTCAGAAAAAATGGAATCAGAAAAGTGGGGAGAACCCTGTGGGACTAAAGGTGTGTGTGTAGGGTCAGGAGTTAATTGCCTTTAGTTAGATTTCTTAATTAATGATTTTGGACCATTTTGAAGTTGGAGCTGCTATGAAAATTAATGAGAAAGACCGTGAGCAGGATAATTGCTTTTCTACATTCTACTTGGTTTTAAAAAGATGTTTAAGAATTTTGTTTTCCTTTTCACTATTTTCATGCACTTTTTCTTTATCTCCTCTCCGCTCCCTATTTATCATTAAGGGTGTGTCTGAGTTGTAATTCACAAAAAGGTAAATCAGGGAAGCTTGAAAAACTTAATTTTGTAATTGTCTCTTTTTGGTTAGTATAAAAATAGCAGAGGTCTGGCATTGTCAAGTTCTTGTATAAAGAGACCAGTATGGTTTAACTGTAGTTCATTTGTCTATGCAGGCTTAGTGTTCATTCTGGTCCGCCATTTTGTAGTTTCAGCTTCAGGATCTCAATATGGCGGATCCCCTTGGAAGACCTGGGAAGTTTGGTCTCTCTCCTATCCAGTGAATATCTGGCTCAGTACATTAGGGAATTTTGAAAATGAGGGGAATATGAGCTCATCTTGTGATTTGGAATGAAGAAGCTTAGTGCAAGGACTTTTATATTGCTATTTGAAGCAGGGTCATGATTTGGGTTTATTCATAGATTTATAAAAATTTTGATTCCATAATTTATCTGACCGGTTTTTATTGATGAAGCATTTCTCCTATTTATTATCAATCTACATTCTTGTTTTCTCCTTACCATCTTCTTAATGTTCAATTTGTGTTCTAGCTAAAGTTCTAACATTTCACATTTTGGATGTAGATTTCCAAGTTAATCATCACTGCATTATGTTACTTAGGTGCTTTAGGAGGAATCCTTGAAGTGAGCAAGTTATGAGTGCTCTCCTTAGCATGTCAGGAAACATTGAGTTTTTAGAATCTTGTTTCTTCCATGTGAATTAAGACTGTGGCTGGTACTGTCTCTTATTTGTGGCTCAGAATGGAGCTAAAGTGACAGTTGTTACTGGCTAAGACAGCCTCTCTTACTTATTAAGGTAGGGGATGAATGTCATTTCTTTGTTCTCCAGTTCCAGAATGCCAGATGACACAAAATTCTCTTTTTTGATAATTCTCTCCAGGTTTTGTATTGGATATACTGATTTTTCTTCTGGTTGTGAAAATGCAGAGGGAAAGAATCTCACACTCTTTTAATCACCAAGAACAGAGTTAATTTTTATCCCACTTTTTTATATAAGGCACATTAAATATTTTATAGAAAATTAAAAAGTTTAGTATGATATTGTAGGATCCCATTGGTCTTTTACTTTGGAGTTTGTTTCCAGATTTTTTTAAAAATGAAAATGCTTTGGGAACAAAAATTAATATTGTATTAATATGTATGTATACACATACACACATTACATTTTCCTCCCTAACTGCTTATTTAAATCCTTTTTATTGTTTAATTGTAAAAGCTCCTTATGTGTTCTGGAACAAGACTTTAAAAGAACACTTTAAGATATGATTACCATACAGAAAGTTTTAAGTAAGTATATATATTGATGTGTTAGAAGTATATACCATACACCTTTGCAACCTTCACCATAACCAGTCCTCTAAACTTTGTCACTGACAAAAAGTTTCATTCCTCTCTATTTTTGTTATTGTTTAGATGTTTTGTTTTGGAAACTAGACTCATCAGCTGCATGAAATGCAAATCTTTTTTGCCATTATTGTCGTTATATTTTTTCTTTATTTTGAAAAAAAATTATCATGTAATTATTGTACATGTTTATAGGTCACAGTGCAAATTTTTCGACCTATGTATGCGTTGTGAACTGCTCAAATCAGGCAATTAGCATCCCATCTACCAACCTTTACTCCATATATGGAGCCAACCAAATCCTCTCCTTTACTTCTTTACATGGTATATAATACATTATTGTGATAGAGTAACCAAATAGTGCTATGAAACACTAGAAACTGTCCTGTGTGTTTTGTTACCCTGTATCTAAACTTCCATTATCCCCCTCCTTGACTATTCTTAGCCTCCAGTAATCACTATTTTTGAGTTCAGGTAGACATTTTAGCATCCTTTGAAGCAGACCTTTTTTGTCTTTCGTATTTGATGAAATTCAGTGTGTCTATTAAGGTTTTTGTACTTCAGGTGTCATGTTTGTGGGGAAACATTCAGTTCAAAGTAATGAAGGTTAGCAAAGTATAGAATTTTACAATTTAAGACTATAATGTATATTTGACTTTAAAAATAATTTAAAAGTTGGACATTAGGTACAGCAGGTAAGATACATGTGTTACATCCTGGGATACATTAAAATGCCTGGGTTGAGCCCAGTGTATGCTTCATGTGCTAGCTTCCTGCTAAGCATACCTTGGGAGGCAATAGGTAATGGTTCACATACTTGGGTTCCTGCCATCTGTTGGGGAGACCCAGATTGAGTTCCAGGATCCTGGCTTAAATCTGGCCCAGCCTCAGCTGTTGTAGGAATATGGGGAGTAAATCAGCAAATGGGAGACATCTTCCCCACCCCCGGCTTTTTCAAATGTATAAAAGTTAAGTTTTAAATATTTAAATTTTTTTAGTAATAAAAAACATAGGTTATTGAGAAGTCAAAAAATGTTTTTAAAACATCTAGTTTCAGAGAATTAGTTTTTGGAATGTGTCTGAATTCTCCCCCTGAGATGTAAGTTGCATGACTTGTAAAAGGCTCATTTTTTTCTGTTCATTCTGCTTTAGTGCTTTTAAATTACAACTTTGTGAGTGATTTCTACAGTTCCTAAAGTATACAACCTGAGAAGGAAATTTTATACTCAGTCAGTTCCCTTGACCAGCCATTTTGTGACATGTTCTGCTCATAAAATGGAGTTTTTTCCCTTCTTTTTCTTTTTGCTATGTTGATTATTTTTGTTTAAGCCTTTCTGCTTGTTTGGCAAACCCTAAGAAAACAGCATTGTTTTAATGTACACATTTTGTGATTTAAGCTTTTGTTCTACCACTCCATTCTACCAAATGAATATATTTTCTCAAACTAGTTTTAGAATCATTTTTGCTATTTTTGTAGTGGAGGATAAGTATTTATTGAGACTGTATTGTGTGTGTGTGTGTAGATGTATACATGTATATAAAAGAGCCTTTAGAAAGTTAATGGAACAAGTATATTATGAAAAGACTGCATGGATTTCAATTTTTGTACCCCACAATAAACATTTTCCATTTTCCACTAATTTTTTAATTCTCATTTTTAAGTGTATGTGAAGATACATAGTAGTGAATATATTCATTTAGCTTATTTCCTAACTTTTTGGTTCAGCCTAGTTTTCTGACATGATGGGTTTGTAAAATGAGAAAGTTGCTGCAACATTCATTCTGTTTAAAGAGTGATGATCTAATACTTGTTATTTTGAATATTGGGGTATTTTTTCTTAAAAGTCCACCATCTTAAATGTAGCTCCAAATATATACCTTACATAAATAGTTGTTTCAGAATTCAAGAAGTTGATCAAACAAATCCTCCTATTTTAGGGATCGCTTACACCTGAGACGGACTACAGAGCAGCACGTGCCAGAAGTGGAAGTCCAAGTTAAACGTAGGAGGACTGCTTCATTGAGCAATCAAGAGTGAGTATACACTGGGTTGAAAAGTAGTTCATGTTGACTCCTGTTTCAGTTGGAAGAGAGTAAAGTGAGCAATAAAGAGATTAAAATGTAGATAATTGAAGTACATGCATATATAACAATGAAATTATCCTTAATTAAATTGTTTTTAATTACATAGTCCTAATCCAGCCCAACTTGGATTTTCTTTTTTGTATTTATCTTTCAACAGGACAATTTCCAATTTCTTATATTTTTAAATCACTACTTATATGCTTGAAAAATGTTCTGTGCATTAGTGGAACATTATATTGATTCTTAATTCTGCAATAATGGTTTTGTTTTCTGTTAGTGTATACATAATTTTTCCTCTTATTAGAATATATACATGTAGGGGCTGTCACACAATTTAGGTTTCTAAAGGACAGCTTTAATTAAGAGTACATAAACATTTCAGTGACCTGAGAAACGCCGTATATACAGTGACTGTTTGGCATTTTATCATTGCCCCTAAAATTCTGACATACATTTCCATAAAAATTGAGTCAAATTTTAAAGCCTCTACCAACTTATTTCCCTTCCCTCCACAGAGATAACCTATAAGTACTTTGGTCTCTATCCTTCAGACCTGTGCATCCTTGCTCTTGTGGGTTTGTCTATGTGGGAAGTAGGGAGAGAAGAGGAAGAGAATAGGCGGGACACATTTCTAAAATTGCCTGCATGATACTGCTGTATGTATTGTATGAAGATATTCCTTGGGATTTTTCCAGATCAGTGTGCATACCTATCTTATAATTGTTTTAATCATTAATCTAACTATGCATTATTTCGTTTGTATTTCTTAACTATTAACAAGATAGCAGGTTGCTCTGAAAATCAGTGTATTAATACTAATTTCCTCATCTAACTTTAATTATAGAAGGTAGATATTAAATTTGTGTGTGTTATTTTCATGTGCTTATTTTATATACAAAAATTGTAAAAGACTTGCATATTTTAAATACCTAGGGAGAATAAGGACTATTTGTTTGCCCTCAATTTTATTTTTCTCTTCCAAGTATTGTTTAAATTACACTTTTGGAAAATTACTTTGAAAGGAATATTTACATTTTATTTATAAATATTTATAAATATTAGTATATTATGAAAGATAGTTTGTCCTTTAAAATAGATAATTTGATTTTACATTTTGTTATAATATCTTGATTTCCCCTTTAGTAATTGCAAAGTTTTAAAAAGTGTCAGTGCACTTCTGGGAATACCCTACAGTTTCCAAGGGATAATTGAGAGAGATTGTACAGGAGATAAAGATGGTGGTTAGAGTCTCTTGAGGGGATGTAGTTAGTATTTTATGTTTTGTTAAGAGTTTATCCTATATGGCCTCGGTGACATTGAATACAACTAATCATCTCATATTTAATCTTGTTTTGGGATGAGGTAAGCTTCATTTGGTGTTTTATTTGTACAAATATATGGAAATATTTGGATGCTTTTAAAGAAGAAATAACTTGAATTTTCCTGACCTTCTGTATATTATAGGTTCTTGAATTGGAAGGATATGAGGTGGGAGGGAAACTCTAATTTTCTCCTTTGTCTCTTTTTGAGTGTAAGGGGTTGCAGGAATGTGTAAGGTTTCAGTAGATACTGTCTGCCTTATGTTTCATATGCTTAGGATTGGTACACTTAATAGTAATATTTTACATATATGATGAATGTTCATTAGTATTTATCTCTATTAATCTGCCATCTTTTTCCAAACTATAAGTATTGCTTATCAGTCTTCCTGGAGGCATTGTGAAAGTATCTGCCCTAGAGACCAATAAAAGGTTATCATTAGTAGTCCTTCCAAAAAATCCAAAAACAAGTAAAAGCCAATATAACATGTAAACAGAATATTCCACAGATTAACATGGACATAATAAAAGTTCATTTTCCCCCTTCTTCTCATTTAGAATATCGATGATTATTCTGTCCTTAGTAGATATACCACCAAATCTGTTCCTGTTCTTTGGTATTGAATAACATTACTTTCTTATGTTTAGTCTTTTGTTGAGTTACAATTAAACTCAAAGGGTTAATGCAATAGGAAATTCTCTTTAGTTTTTTTTTTTTTTTTTTAATTTATTTGACAGAGTTAGACAGTGAGAGACAGAAAGAAAGGTCTTTCTTCCATTGGTTCCCCCCAAATGGCCACTGTGGCCGGCGCTACGCTAATCTGAAGCCAGGATACAGGAGCTTCTTCCTGGTCTCCCATGTGGGTGCAGGGGCCCAAGCGCCTGGGCCATCCTCCACTGCCCTCCTGGGCCATAGCAGAGAGCTGGACTGGAAGAGGAGCAACTGGGACTAGAACCCAGCACCCATATGGGATGCTGGCGCTGCAGACAGAGGATCAGCCAAGTGAGCCACGGCTCTGGCCCCATAGGTTTTAAGAAGCTGAATTTTTTTTTCTTTCTGAAACACTTTATAGGACTTCATTAGATAAGAGACTTGGTTGCCATTTGGTAACAGAAATCAGAATAGAGAATGGCCAAATTAAGATTCCATTATTCAGTGATTGGAATAGGAAATTCCAACAGTGTGTAGAATGTAATTAAGATACTAAGGCTTAATTACTAACCAAGACTTAATGCAGACTTCATAGGTAGATTGTATCATCTCTCTGTTAGACTCCTTTGAATTCAGACATCAGCTACAAGCTCTGCAGTTCCCAGACTACCCCTACTTTTGACAACTGGCAATAGATTCTGCTGCCCCTTCAGATTTTCTAAGTTGTTAAAATGACTCACAGAAGTAAAATTTTTATTATAAAATGATTGAAAAGAACATACTCATGGGTTAAGACCTAGGAGGGTCCCAAATTCAAAGCTTCCCTGTTCCCAAGATGCACCAACGAGGAAGCCCAGCAGAACTTTTATATATTAATGATTTCATTGTATTTTCATTTTATAGTCAACATTGATTGAATCCTTGGTAATGTGATTGAGCTCAGTTTCCACTGACCATCCCCCAACTAAGATATCAGAATTATAACCACTACCCTCTTACCTTGGTGTTTTGTGGTAGGGCTGGGCACCATCCTGAGTCATCGGAGTAGCATAAACTCAGATGTGATCTGAAGAATTCACTTGGAATAAAAAGATAATCCCCCTTTGGGGTAAATTTCTAGAATTTAGAAGTTACCTCCCCTGAACTAGGGACCATGGCCTGCTAAACTCTTCATCCAACAGTGTGATGAAAATGTTGAAAAACTATGAAGTAGAAAATCTTTTACCACTGTCCACATTTCCAAATCCAACTGCTAATGAATATTTTTGTTTACTGATGAAGCTTCAGAAAGTTTGTTGAAAAATGGAATTAAAAGTTGTTGTGGGGAGCAGACTTTTGGCTCAGCAGATTAAGCAGCTGCTTAGACACATGCAGCATTCTGTATCAGAGTGCTGGTTTGAGTCTTGGCTTCTCTTTTTTTTTTTTTTTTTTCCTAGCCAGCTTCCTGCTAATATGCCTGGGAAGGTAGCAGAAGATGACCCAACAGTTTGGTTCTCTGCCACCCATGTGTGAGACTAGGATAGTGTTCCTGGCTCCTGTCTTCAACCTGGCCCAGACCTGGCTGTTGGTGCCATTTCGGGGATCGATCTGTATCTCTTTCCACCTTTCTCCATCTCTTGGTTGCTCTGCCTTTCAAATAAACAAACAAATCTTAGGGTGAATATTCCATGAAACTTTTGAAGCCTCCTCTTATCTCTTTTTTTCCTTTATCAACAAGGGCATAATTGTTGGTGATTTCTCCTCCTGTGTCCTAGGCATGTCTTGTTGCATAACAAACTAAATTTCTACATCTATTCTGTTCAGGATCAGGTTACTGATCCACAGGGGTATGTTGAGGTCTTTTCTTTAAAATGCCCTGCTTATTCATAGATGTATGATTTACCTAGTTTTGGAGCTCTTCAACAAGCTGTACCCTTGAGGTGCTTTTTTTCGGGTGGTGATATTTTAGGAGTATCAGTATGGATGATTGCCTTGAAAATGCATTACCAAATTCTTCACCCAGCCTATGGGAGAAAAGATGGTTTCCACATAGGATGATTGTAAATTGAGTGGCCATGATGCTGATACTTTTTCTGCAGAACTAACAACTCTTGGTCTTTTGGGTCTTTGGAAATATTCCTAGACTGGGTAAGTATTCACTGTTTCCTCGCACATCCTTGTGTTCAGAGACTTTTGTTTTATTTTATAGTTTCCTAACAAAGTAATGGCATTCTCTGAGCATTAAAGCAGATTGTCATAAATAGAAGAGTCTGTGTATTCTTTGATATGATTAATATTAATAAATATTTTTGTCATTTATGTATACTATGCTCTTATCATAGGTGTCAGTTGTACCCAAGACGTTCTCAACAGCAGCAAGTACCTGTGGTGGATTTCCAGGCGGAACTAAGACAGGCATTCTTAGCCGAGACACCAAGAGGTGGTTAAAGCAGTATTGGAATATCAAGGTAGCTGACTTCTAAGCAAAAACCAGGTTAGAGCTGATGTAGTAATGATGAGAAAATAAATCATTGAAAAAAAGGGTGTTTGGTGTTCATTTAGTAATCTGGGCACTTGAAAAGACTTTTTTTTTTAAAAATAAATACTTCTTATAAAAAAGCAAATTACATAAAGATTTTAAAAGAGTAAAAGAAAATCCTTAATGTTCCTGCCATGACAATGTTTTTGTGTCCCAATCTTTGTGGTGTGTGCTTTTTGGATAGTTTTATTTATGTTCTATTTGATTTTCAACTTTACCTTATATATAAAAAAAAAAAACTGTTAGTTAATGCTTTATAATTCTCCTTTGTGAGTGATTTAATTATTTTGCAAGAGTTTGTAAAGTAACATTAGTTTTCATTGCCATAAAATAGTGTGCTATTTAAAATACACTTACCAGTCTTATTATAATTATAATATCATTTATACTTATTGAATATACCATCATTATCAAGATTATTAGAGAATCTAAATATTTCCTTGGTTATTCACTAACTACTTCTTTCATTGTTTTGTCTTTTTTCTCACTTTTCTGTTTTCACCAATGTATTTCTTACTGGAATCAGCAGACAATGCAATAAAGATTATCCATAAATTTTTAATGTGATGTAGATTTATTTACTGTTTATGTTGATTTATATTTTCTAGAAAGTTATTCACATTGATTCAGTACCTTGTTTTTACTTCATTTTTTTCTGTTTTAAAAATAGAATGCCCTTATTTCAGAGAATTTGCTATATACTGTTTAGAAAATAGAATCAGAAAGGGTATATGGGTGAATTCTCTACTAGATTTTTATTTCTGTTTTTGAAATGTTGCCCCTCAACTTGAATTAATTAGGACTGTTTATGGCTACTATATTGAATTTAAATCTGAGAAGACATATTTTCTGAGAACTCCTCCCTGTTGAATCCTCAATATCCAACATTCCAAGATGAACTTTGTTGCAAATAAGCTAGGGAATCTGAAAATTGCCCCTCAGGGCATTTTTCAATGAGTAGGCACACACACAGTTGATTTTCTTTGTGTCTAGACATTTTTTGGCTTCTCAGTTGAGTTAGAATACTCTTGAAAACTTCTAAGTATGTTATTTAAATTACGTATTAGCATCTGCCAGTAGAACCATTTCATTTTCTCATATTTAATCATATCCTATGTTATTCTGTGTCCAACTGCTAGTTTCACCTAAACAGTGATAGCTATTAGGCTTTCATTAGAGTAGGAGTTAGTATCTGTCCCACTACATATTTTTGTAGATTTTTATTGATCTATAGCTATGTCTATGTAAGGCTCATGGCTACATGACACTACAGTGTCAATTTTTTGACAGATCAGATGATAGGGATAGCATGAAATATTTAATATCTTGTTCTTTTATATAAAAACATCTACTGATCATTATTTTAGAGACACAGATTAATTGAAAACACCACGGTGGTGCCAAGGGGTATAGCAAAGTGCTGAAGAAAGGGATTATTGAAAGATTGTATATGAAGTATGTAGAATACTAGGTATTTCTGCAGTAAGAGAAGGGTCTGGAAATCATATGGATTTCACTTGAAGGGTACTTTAATAATTGATACCTTCCTATTTTAATTATAAACATCTGAACAATGTGATAGCCAGGAAAATTGGAAAGTAAATTTATGAATATTACAGATTGAGCATCCTTAATTCTCAAACTTGTAACTGAAAATAATACAAAATTTTTTGAGCACTGACACCCCTGGTGGAAAATTCCAAACACCATGACTCTTTTCATGCACGAAAGTACCATATAAAATGACTGTATGCTATGTGGGTAAGTTGTATATGAAACATTATTTTGCAGATGCCAATAATCACGTATAAAATAATCTGAAATGCAAGATATGTCTGATTCCAAGCATCTTGGAAAAGGGATATTGAACCTCTAGTTTTGTTTCTTGGTACAAAAGGATAAGTATCCAAGTGTGGGTATAATATTAGAGTGAATCTTTTTCTTTTTAAAAATATTTATGGTTTGAAATACAAAGATGAACGAATGGACAGAGATCTCATCCACTGATTCACTTCCTAAATAACTGAAACAGGCAGGGTGGGACAGGCCAAAACCAGCAGTCAGGAATTCAATCTGGGTCTCCCATGTAGGTTGCAGGTACCCAAATACTTGAGCCTCCACAAGATACAGTGTTTGCAGAATGCTGGAATATGGAGTGAAGCCAGGACACCAATGTAGGTACTATGATGTGGTATCCAGTTATCCTAATGGTATCTTAACTACTATGCCAGATGATTTCCCCTGGAATGATTTTTAAATGCATCACAGGAAGTCTTGATTGATGTGAACATTCCTAGACTAGAGGTAGGTATTTGGACATTTGTGTTCAGTATCAGAGTACCTGGATTTGATTCACAGCTCTGACTCCTGACTCCAGCTTAGTACTAAAACAGCTCTAGTAGAGAGTGGTGATGGCATGAGTTATTGGGTTCCTGCCACCCACAAAGGAGACCTGGATTCCAATTTATGAGAGCTCTCTGTGTCTTTCTGTCTCAAATAATTAATACAAACTTTAAAAGTGGTTAGTTTCTCTTTACAACTCTTAGTTTTTAAATAAACACTTCCAATGAAGGAAAGTATGTGGTATTTAGTTGGCCGTGCTCTGTGGAAGAATATTTTCAAATTAGTTGTATATTCTCCCATTCTTTATTGTTCAGGACATCTATTCACAGGCTTAAACTTCTCTTATTCATTATGTTATTTTGGGTCAGAGATTACACATGATTGAAGTAGTAGTTCAGTCTCCTTGTTTGAATAGTTGCCTGTGATTTTCTCATGAATTTTAGATAATGTGTTACCTCATGTACAAACATTGGATCTTGGGCACTGGAGTATTCTTGATGCCATTTCTGTAGATATAAGTAGGTACATAGATAGTATAATCTGTTATCAGTCGTCTTACAGAGCAGTATAGACAGTATATTGAGGGAATAAGCAGATTGTTTACCATAAACTTTAAAAAGAATGCATGAAAGCTTGTATGTGGAAAATGTAGGTTGTTGGGTATACTGAAAAATTGTTAGGGATTTCTTGGATCTTAAGATCTAAGAACTCTCAAGATCTCATGGAATGTCTTACTGCAATTAAGCTTCTAGAACTATAGGAAACATCCCTTAAACATCTTAGAACTTTATGGAAAGAGTTATCACGTATTTTTATGTTCTTTTATATGTTGGCATAAAATTCCATATGTGCTCAAAACTTATTTTACTTTATTGTTTTGGTGTTCATGTAGTTTATAGTCATGATTTTAATGATTATTTTCAAACCATGAAGTACTCAGAATATACCTAACATTTAATGTGCTGTTTCAAAATTTTATCTATTGGAAACAGTGAAGAACAATCCTAGTGGAATTTAGCTTTTAATATGATTCTATTTTTATATTTAACTCCAAATTCCTACTCAAAAATAATATAATTTGTGTCTCTTTGTACCATCAGCAGTTTCAGCCACTGAATAAGATGCTGGCTAAATTTGATTGCCATATTGATAGCATTTTTTTTTTTTACAAAAAGTAATGGTGAAAATGTTAATTTGTTATGCATGACGCTTTGATAAACAAGAAAGCTGTCAATGAGCTTCTGTTAAGTAGTTATGTATCAGCCTTTGACATAGAAAGTCTTAAGCACGTTCATAATACATTTGGTTCTAGGTGAGGGAAGACTACATTTGAAGGTGCTCTTTGGGAAGGAAAGAATATTACAGCTGAATATTTAGGTTGTTCAAACAAAAAGTATCAACAACAAAATCTTTTTTTTTAATTTATTTATTTGACAGGTAGATTTATAGACAGAAACAGAGAGCAAGGTCTTCCTTCCGTTAGTTGACTCCCCAAATGGCCACCATAACCGGCGCTGTATGGGTCTGAAGCCAGCAGACAGGTGCCTCCTCCTGGTCTCCCATGGGGGTGCAGAGGCCCAAACACTTGGGCCATCCTCCACTGCCTTCCTGGGCCACAGCAGAGAGCTGGACTGGAAGAGGAGCAACCGGGACTAGAACCCGGCGCCCATATGGGATGCTGGCGCGGCGCCTCAGGCAGAGGATTAACCAAGTGAGCCAGGGTGCTGGCCCCACAACAAAATCTTGAACTAACTCAGGAATAATTTGTGTTATAAATACGTGAGATACTTAATTAATTTTAGGTGTGGGAGTAAAGCAATAACCTTAAAGGTAGAAAGGAAGAATAGTAAAATTTTGAGATGTTTAAATGAAAGTTACTGGTAAAATATAATTTAGTGAGTTTCATCAGTGCTAGCTATGTCGAATGTGGGAATTAAAGATGAAGGAGTAGTGAATGAGTCATGGGATAAAGGATTTTTTGAATGTGTTTTGCAGTGATATCTGTGCAAAATTGTCTGCCTATTTTAAAACATGGTAGATTGTAGTGCAGCTGTAACATGCTTTCCTCTGCAGGCTCCATCTACTGTTTGTGAAGCTTCTGCCCAGCTTGCATTGTTTCTAGGAGAACCTGCCATCATACCTTTATCTATAGCCTTCCCTTAGGTCTTAAGGGTCCTGAAATTTTACTTTGGACATTGAATTTGGTGGAACAGCAATCATGGTAAGATGTTTATGTATTAAGATGGGGGGGTGGTAAGTTGTTATAAGGGCATCAAATAGTAGTTTGCAGTTGTGTGTGGGTGCCTTTGGGTTCTGAAAATTTGAATAAATATGTAGACATGTATTCTAAATGCATTGAAAAAAAACAGGGATTAGCAATGTTTCTTTTCTTGTTAATTACTGCAAATTGGTTTCAAAACCATCTTGAGGTGTTTTAGAACATGAGAAAATTCAGAAGCAGTTTTTTGGTCATTGTTATTAGGGGACTATCTTGACTCTTAGGTCAGATTATAGTAGACATAAAGACTACTTTATGTGGAAAGCTTTTTCAAAACTTGAAGGGCTTGATTAGTACACAGGAGAACAATTGGCAAAGGGAGGGAGCAAGTGAGCATAAACCAGCCAGCATCCTAACCACAGAGTTCTGTGGTTCTCAGTCTAGAGCATGTATTATCAAATGATTGATACCATTCCCAAAGGGGTTAAAATTGCTAGGATTTGTTAACAGTCATAAGCTTCTTAATGCTTGGTCATCCAGTGTCACATTGCAAAAATAGAGATACAACATGTCTGCATGTTATGGTACCTTAGGAACTTGACAAGTTTTAATTGAAGTAGGAATTTGTCCAGGGTAAAAGAAATTGTCAACAAGATAATGTGCTGTGTTCCAAGATAGGATTTAAGATTAGACAGGTAAAGGTGTAAGATTAAAATTTCAGCTCTATAAAGAAACGAGGCTCGTGGATCTCTGGGGAAAGTTTTAGTTATGATGGGAACCTTTTTTAGAGGAGTTTAGTGGTTCCAAGTTCAGATTTGGCCCAATAAATTAAATGTGGAGGAATATAGGAGAAAAAGATAAGATAAATTTATGGTAGACTAGAAAAGGGATGTAGGTTAGAAAATGGACAAGGGCAAGCTGATCACTGACTTTATCTTCTTAATTCTAGACTGTGGGCAAGAGTAGCAAGATGCTACAGCACATTGACTATAGAATGAGAT